AATAGGACAAATTAACATAATTAATTTATGAGCTTTTTAATCTTAACGAGATAAAATAATTAACTTAATTATAAACTAATTGATTTTCAATAAGCTAATTAATTCAAAATTAAAGCTATAATTCAAACTAAAACTAAATTAATAAAATATATATTTTAACGAAGCAAAAATCTTTTGTTATGATCTTCAAACATTTATAAAATATACTAATTATTTATATAATTATATGAAATATAGTTATTATTCAAATACTATAAAAATTGTTTGAAATTATTTACACTAACCTTGAAACTATTTGAATTTGACATAGCTAATTATTTTAAATCGTTTGAATATTAAGAAGCTCAGAAATCAATTATTGTCGGGGAGGGTCAAAATTGGGTGTCAACACTCGAGACTCATAAAAAATGTTGTCAGGTGCATGTCGGATCCTCCAAAAAGCATCTTTGGAGGATCTGGCACGGATGCGTCAATATTTTTAGAGAGCCTGAGCTACATTGCCAGAAGGTTTATGCTTGTGTGCATGTATTAATTAGGTTCATTCTGTACCTACTGACAGGAAATTGCTTTCATCTCAAACCATAAGCACATATGCCAAAAATCTATGTTGCTCAGACTCCTAAAAAATGCTACTAGGTGCGTGTTGGATCCTCCAAAAGTAGTGCATTTTTGGAGGATTTAGCACGGGTGCGTCTATATTTTTAGAGTCAGTAACATAGCTGAAAACTTTGTGCTTGCGTGCGTGTATTAATTAGGCTCATTTTGCACCCACAGACAGGCAACTTCTTTCATCTCGAACCATAAGTACATATACCAGAAACCTATGTTGGTCGGACTCTTCAACTATGCCACGTGGTGCGTGTCGGATTCTCCAAAAGTAGTGCATTTTTGGAGGATCCAACATGAGCCGCGACAACATTTTTGGATAGTCAAAGCAACATAGGCAACAACTTTATGCTCACGTGTGTGTATAAATTAGGCTCATTCTGAACTCACTAACAATGAATCCTGAATTTACCTCTGGATAGAACTGATCCGTCAAACTTCCTTATACAATTTTGTTGTGTGGACGATAAACGGTTTGTTGTGTGCAGATGTATATATACATATGCATACACATTCATTATGCGAAGTGATTTCAAAATGCTCATCAATCGTGTTTATTTCGTTTTTCCAGGTTGATTCATAACAATAACTTTGAGGAGAGTGTTCCTTTGGAAATTGGGAAGCTTCATTTAGTCACAGAATTACAATTCGACGAAAATCTCACTTCTGCTTTTGCTTCTGGAACTCTCTGTATAAGAAAATTTCGTCATTGGTAGGATTCTTTTATTTGTTTAGTACCCTATCTTCATATTCAGCTGGTTTTTTGCATATAGATGCTGGATAGTCTATCTTTGTGGCAACACACTATCTAATTGATCTTGCTCATTTCTCAATTTGATATTTTGCATGTCTTACAGCATCTGGCAAGGCAGCATGAAGCCATTCAAGACGATAACCTCCATTATTGAACCAATAAAATGTACACTTTTGCATTACCTCAGTTTCTTCCAACTGTAAGTAATTAAATAGTTTTTCACATCACGAGTCATCTAGTTAAGTTTTATTATTGAGAGACATTTTTTCTATTTCTTTAGGCCATCTCCTGGAACGGGCTTTATGGATGACCGGAAAGACTGCTCTGACAACCTTCCAAGTGAGTAAACACGTCATATTTTTAAAAATAACTCCGAAGAACCATTTACAAATAATAATTCTTCATTGTCTACAGGGTTATCCAGGCCTCACATCATCCACACTATACAGCACCAAGAGGAGATTGCACGCCGTAAGTTGGCTGAACAATCCAGTAACCTTGCTGCTGCTCCTGCCAATATCAAAGGACCGTTGGGTCCTGTCATTCAAATTCCAAGAAGCAGTGGGTCGTTTCGTGCGGTGCCAAATTCCGATGGAACACATCCTACAAACTTACCATCACCACCTCCACAGCATGAATCTCAAGACAAATTACATCCTGTGGGACAGTCTGCAAGTGCTGTAAAACAGTCGCCTGCTGTGAAAAAGCCAACTAATAGCCAAGGCCCCCCTGCTGGAAAATCGGAAAGTACTTGGAAGTACGTAGTTGGGATTTGCATTGGAGTAATTTTGCTCATTCTTGCTGCTTCTGTGTTCTTAATCTGCCGAATCAGAGCGGCTAGAACAATTGGCCCTTGGAAGACTGGATTGAGTGGACAGCTGCAAAAAGCATTTGTTACAGGTACTCACATCATATTGTGCCGAAAAGTGATACTGCTAATATTCTGCTCCCCACCCTGATAGTAGTTGCATTGCTAACAATATTCTTAGCATAGCGTTACCTTATCAAAAAAAATATTCTTAGCGTAGTGTTATAACAATTTAACTAGAGTAAAGGGAGGTACTGATATTCTTCGTCTTATGAGGAATTAGAGGACTAAT